AATGGATGTCGTTTGAAAGACAACGAGGCCAAGTGACGTGACGTACGATACATTCCACGAACCTGGCACGACGTTATGAAAACACAATTACATATCCGATGCAGTTAACGGCTGTCATATGTTCCAAGTGAACACATTTTTAAAAATAAACGGGTTTGAATACACAAATATTGTTTGAAAATACGTCTAGATACATTTTGGTGAGATTTTAAGGTTCCCACGAGATAAAACCGACTGTCTTCTGGTATGCTACATGTTGCTCGTCGCCCTGACGATGGTGGCAGTAGGCTCTGCTCTAACGCCGGTCAGTATCTACCAGACTACAGGATGCAACATTTCAGAAGACAGCCAACTTTTTTTTAAACAAACAACTGTTTTAACACGGAATGTATAGACGACCTGTAGTTGAAGTTTTCCGCACGAAATTATTCCCAGAAAATCATTTAAAACTAAGGTTTATTGCGGTGTGGACAACAGTCAACCACTGATTGCGATCCTAAAACCGGATGAATCTATTCCACAGCATCACACTGTTTTTTTTTAAGGTTTTGAAGCCGGAGTTCGTCTAAACAATATTTAAAGAATTCGGTTCGTACCGCGAAGAAAACACTACACTTCACCATTACAAAGACAAAATAGTTGACGCTTTTTACCGTAAGAATCACACGGAACCCATAATACAAAATGAAGAGTTACTGACTTTTAAAGCAGGTGGTACATGTAGGTACCACTAGACTTTAAAGTGTTAAGATTTATTTTAATAGAATCGTCCCATCTACAGTTTAAGTTTATCTCTAAGGAAAAAAAAAAACAGGTGAATTACAAAGTTATTTGTGTTAGGGACCAAAATCTCGTCCAATCTCCCCACGACAAAGACTGTAAACATTCTGTGATTATGTAGCCAAGGATGACAGCTCTCGAAACGTAGCAGATAAATAAGGAAACCAATCATTTTCTGTTCTCCATTTCTCTGTCTCTCCTTCACGTTCTACTATTACTTCAGTCTGCCCCACCCCTCGAATCTTGAGCCATCAATCAAGTGTAGTTCTTCGATAGAAGAGAAAACCTTAGCACGGTCTCTGCGATGAGTGAAACCATTGGAAACACGACTCGAGAGGAAAGCTTCCAGGAAACTCTATCAACATCTCTCCAAAATTAAACCTCACTCACTGGTCCGTCCGACTGAAGTAATATCGCCAGCCCTGTTGGCTCTACGTAGCGTCTACTGTGATCTGCAGACAACTAAGTCTGCTCCCGGCATATCTCAGAACCGACCTCAAAAAACACGTACACACCACACACCGTTCGCCTATTCTGTAACGTCTCCAAGAGGAAAAATCTCGAGTTCGAATTTAATGTAGAACAGAGCAGATTTCTTACAAGTTACAATTCTGAAAATTATCATAATCTAATGATCAGTTACTGAAAGTTTATTTCAATAAGTCAAAGGCATAGAAATCTATAAATTATGTTAGAAAGACGTTCTGTAAGGTGAATCTGCAACGACTGTGATAAAAACATGCTGGTACTTAGTGAACGTCACCAAAGATACAATATTTTCAAAACATTCTTCACGATATTTTATTTATTTATTTAGTGTTCTGTCTGACGACAGGTCCATATGAACAGGATCCTTCCATCCTTTTCTCGGACTGGGACCTGTTCATATACGTTCTTGGCAGATGATCCAGGAGTGGTTTGCCATTGCCTTCTTCTGTGTGTGTGAATGGAGTAATTGTTGGGATGCCATGGAGGAAAACTCCGTGTTGCCTAGACCACGGCCTTGCCCAACACAAGTTATAAATTCGGGCACCGCCGGGAATCGAACCCGAGACCCCAGGATTACAAGGCCAGAAAATCTAAAACTCACTACAAGTCGACAGGGCGTTAAAATCCAGGTTACAACACACATCATCACCGCCATTAATACAAATAAAATAATAATTAAGTAAACTTTACTGAAAAAAATAAAACTTCTTATTTAATGGGGTAATATCATGATTATATATATATTGTCCATAGAAAACAACATATTATTCGTACCTCAGAGGAAACAAGATAAATACGTATATCGCTTTTGCATTGAAATACAACATCAATTAATTTAGAGACCGAGACGTGCAGAAAAACTGACGAAATGACTTCATATAGCCTAGAATATTTAACCTTTTAAGGCGCATTGGTAAAAACACGTACCACATTTAACATTCAGAACTCTAAATTGTGTCCACAGAATGAATTCGTGGGTTTAGTATGACATGTAGAATAGACAGCGATTATTTACCTGAACTGTATTGACCAGTTGAGGGTTTTAATGGAAAAGTGTTGCGTTTTCTTTGAGGTACGGACTGAAGTCTTTATTATTTAGACGAGCTTCAACTTCAAAGCGTCAATACTAAATACACTGTATGAGGAAAAAATGTAATGTAAGTTCAGTTTAAACGATTATATTTGGTAAGAATCAAAGGACAGGTATTTTGAAAATGTATTTATCACTTTCTTTTGAAATGTTACGCGTTTTACACTGAGTGAGCAGTGTGAAAATAATCCTATTTAATAATAATATTTTATACTTGAAAACCCAAGAGACACAATGAAGACACGCGGACTGACACTTTGCCCAGGTGTCTATGAGTCAAATGCCAGCACAATGTGACAGACGTACGCCTGTGTTCAGAAACGCCAAACTTGTAAATGATGGATTGTGTTTGCTCTGAACAAAGGGACACTATCTCTCTGCTCAGCTCATATAATGGTTAACATACGACACAGCTATAATGAATTTTGAATGACGCTGTGTTCTATAAATGCGGTTGATTCACGAAATCAAATTTATAGAGCAGAACAGTTTATGTATTCAATAGATAAACGTTTGGCAACCTGTGATAAGTAGTTCGCGTGCTGCATTTAAAAATGTTATTACTGACGAAGTTACCTATTTATGTCGCCGTCGGTTTCTGTGGTACCACCAAAATAACACAAGTCCAGGACTCATGTCGTTTTAGAGGGAAACAGAATACAGACAAGGCTGCCAACTCGCGTAAAGGTATGGACTGACGTGATTCCTGTGAGAAATGATGAATTTGCTCCTGGCGACCGCAGTGGTACCAAAAGGTCAACTGTCTAAAAAATTTAACCCATGTAGTTTTTCAGATAAATTTTTGAACTGTCAAAAAAAGACACGTGACTGTGGTTTGCAGGGCATTGGCGTGGGTCGGGGGGCAAAGCACTGTTGGACACGCTGAAAGGCAACAGGTGCTCGCGGACAAAACAGTGGGGCGGCCATGTTGTGGAGACAACGACAATGCTCCACAAGTGGCAAGTTGAATTGAGTCTCTCGACAGAGGCCAGAAATATCTGAAGTCACGTCTCAACATCAAGTGGGCATTTGAATATGAATATTCTGAGCCTTCCATTTTACACAGACGTTATGGAAGAGTTCTGGTGGAAATTGGAATGAAGTAAATTCACGTATAAAACAAGTCTACGTACAATCAAAAATGGGATATATACAACAACACACCGGCTAAAAACACGTAAAACATAAATAAATTAGTCCCAAGAAAACGTGTAAACCACTGATTATATAAAATCTGCATATGCCATAGGTATAACTTATCTTACCTAACTCCTTGAAAAACAATTCTTCTTGAGGCCTCTCATGAAGTTCATTTCCCCCCGCCCTTGTATAGAACTCGAAGGTTTCTTACCATGCTCACTTGAACTCACCGTTTGACCCCACAGTGAGTCAGTTTAATTGAATCCACACACTCAGATCTCATTCCTTATTATTCAATCTAAACATTTCCTCGGATGTTACCCCTTTGATGTCTCACGTATGTTGTCCGGTTAGGATTATATACATAAAATGTTTCTAATGTGGTGTAAGAATTTCTTCTGGTGGAAATTTATATAGACTCACAGTAATTTATGTAAATGTTTTCATGTCCATACCGTCCACGTCTCAGATTACTGTATTTACATACTACATCGAATATATAAAGTCAGGAAATCCAAGAACATTTTGAATTCGCATCGATATTGTTTGAACATTCTGAACAAGCATTCCAACTCTGCGCAAGTTTGCGTTGATCTACAAACGTGGTTTTACCATCAGCAAACTGGCGACGCGTTGGACCGACAGAACAATAGGACCATCGGTTCGAATCCCCCTAGAAACATAGATGTGTGTCCGCGTTTTACAGTGTATCGCTGTTCTGGCTAATATTGGATATCAAGAGTCTAAAAAGGCTTAATTTTAACTTAATTCCGTACTGGAAGAAACCAGATGGCGTAATCCAAAAAGGATTGAAGTAAAGATAATTCAAAATTTAACACGTGAAATATTCAGTAAGAATTACTCGTATTTCAAGTTTCTTACTACCTGTTAGCTTCATTTATACATCAAATACATTTATAGGAATGATAAAGGATAATTTTTCAAGAACTGTCTTTAAAGTAACCACTGCAGTCCCACGTGGCTTATAGAGCATTACAAATCTTACAGCTGTATGAATAAATGGTGCAATTATATTCTATATTAAAACACGGCGAGAACAAAAATGTTAATGCTACTACAAATTAAATCTTCAACGCCCCTGAAATTAAATTCATTAACCTTGGAAATAATTACCACTATCATCTAATTTTGGGTGCAAACAGAATTCACACAAAAAAAAAGGAACATATTTATCTTGCGTATGAAGTTCAACCTGACAGCCAAAATGATGTGCGATTTAATAAAGAACTTTTAGAAATCAATCCAATTACTTCAGGTTCTCTGAGAAAATTTGCAATAGTTTTCATTGACACACGCTACACGGTCCTACCAAAGTACGTTAGTAAATATCTCATTTTCTCCTGACACGGATATTTGTAAAATAAAAATGTAAATGATATGTCTCTGACCACGTTCTCCGCCCACACACAAAGACGTATAGTTAACTATGTCCCCTGTGAAAGAATTTCGGCCCAGAACACAGAACAAGTTATGTACTTACTGGAGTACCCGGCGAGGAGTGACGCAATGCCGGCAGCATACACGGCAGGCGTCGGGCTAGCACGTTGCTTGCTTCCAGAAGACTGCAAACTCGCGTTACTCGTCCGAGTGTTTCCCACGTGAAGCAGACCCGCTCCTCCGGACGCAGTCACTGCATTTTCATCCTCCGACGTGCTGTACTGTCGTTCCCGCCATTCGTAGCTCCTTTGTCTGCGTAACCTCGGACCTGTTGCTGTTGACGAGGACGATAAACTCCCGCTTCCGACGCCAGATGTCGCCGTCGTCGAACCGCCAATAAGGACGCTTCCCGGTGCTCCAACACTAGGATTATGACTGCCTGACGTACAGGATACGTTAATATTATTGTTAACGCCTCCACCGAAGTTGGAGCTGCTTCGAACTGCGGCCGCAACGCGGCGTCCTAGCGTCGTATCCATGGCAACGCACACGCGCAGGACAGGCTGACGGTCGGAGGAAAAGACGTAATTGTGGATTGAATAGAAGGGAACTGACGCTTCTCGATTCTTCTGTTTGAAGTGTCGAACACTGAACGACTAATCAAGCGATGATGGTAGGATCTGTTGCCAGCTTCACCGATAAGGCGGTCATGTCTGCTCGCTAGTGCGGTGGTGAGGCCAATTCGGCCTTGAAATCTCGTCATAACACGTATTAGGATTTCTGAACAGTACCAGAAGCCTTCTCGCCATC